TGTGGGTGCGGATGTGGATACGAATAAAATAGAATACCCACACCCTTCTATCTGATGGATTCTCACCGACAAGCTTCATCTGCTGAGTTCTTGATGTCTATCTGAGAAAGTATTCTAATGAAATATAAAAAATGCTTTATTAGATAAAATTTTACTGATCGAATGGATTCTTCTCAATAATCTTTATTCAATAGTTTTTATGAAAATCGAACAATAAATCATTCTAAGTTAAATACAATAAAAAGAGATGATTACCTGATATTGGGTTGATCGTAACCAACATAATCATGAGAAAGATGTTGAAATTGTTCTTCGTCATCAATGATAAAGAAAAGTGAAATTGTTGTAATCAACTAGACAATTAATATTCTCGTTTGAGTAAAATAGGTGAAACTATTTCTTTATTCTTTACATATCTCTCTTTTTTTCTCTTCTCATGATCAGCAAATATCATCTAGAAAAACAATGACATATTTCGAGAGAAGATTCTTTACTGATAATTTTCATTATTACTGTTTAGATTTAATTAATAACTCTTTCGATGATTTTTATTTTGAATCTAATAGGATATTATTTTGAAAAAGAAAATATCATTAAATTCAGTTATTCAATAAAAAATTTCATTTGAAAATATCTTTTCTTTTTAGATACAAGACGTGATAAAAAAAGAATAATTCTGGTTAAACATTGTATTAATATTCAGACGTGACAAAAACTAAAATAAAATATCAATTTCAATGATTAATAAATGATTGACGTCAGTAAAACATATTCTCTAAATAATCCATTTTATCAGGACTTTATTTTATCACATCCTTTTATGTTGTTTTTGTTCAATGAACGTCATCAAATTGTCATCTAGAAGAGATATTTTTCAAATAATATTTATTTTTTCTAATCAACACGTCCATTGTTACCATATGAAAACATGAGTACTTGTTCTACGTCCATTTTTTATTTTTTTCTTAATTTTAAAATATATTATTTTTGGAGTGTATTATGTTTATATACCACAAAAATAAGTTTTAAATATATGTTCGATGTTTTCTTTTCATGCAACATATATGATTTAATTGTCTCTCTTAGAATAGTACCAAACATGTCTGAAATAAAATATGACGAAGAAGAGAATAGGCCTGAGCAACATAAAGAGAAGGCAAATGGCCAAGTGAACAAAAGGAGAGAAAAGAAAAAAAAGATAGTACTTCTTATGCAAGAAACTATTCTACTTAACTTGTTTTATATTGAAACACTTTTTTGTAATAAAAACATCTGAAATGGAGCATTTATTTTTTTTCTTAAATAAAAGCAAAGCGCTATGTCTTTTAGGATTTTATTATGTCCAGTGCATCGTATGCGATTCAACCTAAAACTAGAATACTTCTTTACATCGTACCGATGGGTGTGGGTATGGATGAGGATGGTAGAGAAGGAGAGACACCTACACACCCACATCCAGTACACAATATAATAATCATAATGATAGCTTAATAAATTATCTATCTAGGAATATTTTGTAATATCAAATTCTGTACAAGAGATTATGGTTTTACAACGCACAAGATACTGTCGATATAGGAATAAAAGTTGACAAATACGATTTTTTTCATAAGCACACAAAAACACATTTTACAACGCTATGCGTCTTATATTTTGTCACCTTCAGTTTTTTACAGCATGGGCAACCACTCAGATTACATTTCTACATACGAAAAATCCTTGTAAAGAAAAGGAAGGGAAAAGAAATTTTTTTTTCTCACATATAACTCTTCTGAAAAAATGTGCATTTCATTATATTGATATAATCAGGTAACATTAAATATACATAACAGTCAAGCTTTTTGCACAATAGTACTATAAAAAAAAACAACGATTGCTTGAAAAACTTAGTCAATTTTAACGGTTAGTATAGTATTAGAAGTACTGTAAAATCGATATGCATCAAAATTTTTTCCTTCTGAAAGTTTTTATATTTATAGAAGATAAAGTTTGGTTGACACATCTGTTGTGCTCTTTTTTATATTATAAATCAGATCTTAATGAAATATAATTTGTTGTTAAAGCCAATGGAGTACTTTCGACGATGAATAATAAAACTGAATTGTATAGCAATCTTTGTTCTCTTCTATCATCGATAAGCATACGATCCACATTCAAACAACATTATTTTGAAATCTATTCTTGAAGAACACATCTCTAATCTCTAACATTTATTTATTTAAAAGATTTATTATAAGTTGGTTTTTGACAATGTTTAATAAAGAATGGAAGTTGAACGAATATCTAACTTATATACTTCTTACGTTAGTATTTTTATCATCTTGGACAGACATAAATGGTATATTTACTGAACTACCTCAAATCGTTTTAACACAACCAGAAGGTTGGAAATTAGGTACTTATATTGGACTTGTTGCGAGTATGAGTAATATTGCACCATTGATACTTGTTTTTTCTAAATGTATTTTTCGAAAACAATCTCTTAATGTTATTCCAATAAACTATATTGTTATTATTATTGGTATGTCATCATGTTTATTACTCGTTTTCTTTTGGTCTAATACAACTTATATATACAATCGAAATCGTAGTTTAGCTCTTTTTATTCTTACCTTCTTCCTAGCATTACTTGATTGTACATCAATGGTAACATTTTCTCATTATATGACACGTTTTCGACGTGAATTTACAAGTGCTCTTTTTCTGGGTGAAAGTCTTACCATGGTTATTCCAAGTCTTCTGGCTATGATGCAAGGTAATGGACAACTTACATGTATTCCTTCATCTAATAACAATACGACTATTGCTATTTATAAAACGGCTCGATTTTCAGTTTCAATCTATTTTCTTTGTATTTTTTTCATATTGGTTGTATCATTTATTGCATTCGTACTTCTACAATGGACAAAAATTGCTCAAACTAGTAGTCAAGATGCTACCAAAGAGCCAATGATGTTAGAAACTAATGATGAAAATGCAGTGAACATTATGATTGACTCTGATAGTACTATCAAATCACAACGACATAAACTAACTCCTCTATTTTATCTTCTGCTTTTATCTGGATCAGCTTATACAAGTTCAATTATATTCGGAATGGTTTTCTCTATTTCAGCCTACGTTCTCATGCCATATGGTCATCAAATTTTTTATTTGGGTACAATTCTTTCTCCATGGATGTTCTCACTTGTATGGTTATTTGGTACAATTAAACCATTTGTCGCAAAACGTTATTTGTTACTTTTGATTATATTAGGATCGATTACATTTAGTTTTGAGTTAACACTAGCATTCAAAAGTCCTTGTCCACCGTTGATTAACACCATGAAAGGTAATGTTCTTATTCTTGTTATTTGGCTGAGTACCTTTCTTCTTCTTGGTTATCCTCGTCTTGTTATTGCTAATTATGTTCGTCTTCACTCATCAAATGGAATGTTCTGGTTTGGTGCTAATGTACAGTTCGGTGCTTTAATGGGTTCTATTATTGCTTACCTTCTGGTTGAAACATTCTCACTATTTAAAGAACAATTACCATGTGAAAAGATTCAATGTTAATTAAAATCATATCTATTACAAACTTCAATATGAGTGGTCTTCATGTCATCATAGTTCAAGCTGATTTATACAATTTCTATTTTATTTTTAGTTTTTTTCAAATTGACATGTTGAAATGACATTGATCTTTCAATTATTATTATTTCATTAAATTTTCATAAATAAATATATTTGATTTATATTCAATGTTGATGATTATATTATGATATTCAATCATTACAAACATTTAGTTTCCACATATATATATGTACTCATAGTTTAAATTTATTTTAAATAATAAATCATTTTTATTAATGTTCAATATGATGAGAGATGGTATTATTATGTAAAATTTTTTATTATGATTATAAAATAGATCATTAATTTCAATCATCACAGATATTTAGTATCCTCATTTTTCTAGAGCTTTTCATAGTGAATCTTTTAAAAAAGAAAAGATCTAACTTCTATTATGGATTCATGCTGAGATATATAAAAACAAGTATTAGGATATTCCATTATATGCAATCCTTTCATTTTTTATGATTAAATTTTATAGTAATGTATTTTATTTATTTATTTCGATAGTTTTTCTTGTCCAAATCAAATATAAAGTTGGAAAAAAACATATAAAACATCAAATGTTGTCCTTTTACAAAATAATTAGAAGAATTTAATCGATAAAAGAAAAATTCAAAGTGATGTAACAGTCTTATCGAAGGTGGAAGAGTAGTAATAGTTCGATGATTTGAAAAGAAAAGAATACAATACGATCATTAATGAAAGAAAAGAGGAGAATAATATATAATTACATATGGAAGAAAATGTTATGTCGTCATATGTGGTTAACGTAGTAAAAGAGTAATATATTTGTTCACTTACAAATGACATAGACTGAATTCTCATTCATATCGACATAATTACAAAATAGCACAAGTTTAACAATTCAATTCTTTGAAATAGTTTCATTCTGGTAAGTTAGCCTTTTGAGATAATATAAAAAATAGAGTATCACACAATAACTATCTTGAGAGCAAAAGTGTTGATAATAATTACAGTAAGACTAGAAGAAAATAAACATGACAATACAGTTGTGTGAAGGAAAGATTAAATATCATTCGTCTGGATGATAACGTTACGAGTGTAGATTTGTACTTAATCTTTACCGACATCAAAACGTTCTCCGATTAAAAAAACATCACCAAAATTGCTTAAAACTTTTTTCGAAATTAAAAGCACAACAATTTCCAGTTTTAATTCAACTATCTTACACGTTTTTATTACCATTGATTTATTAAGTTTTCATCTAGAAAAGTACATAAGAAAATATTTATTTCTTCTAGAAATTTTTATTCAAAGACATGGCAATGCCGAACAATACAGCACCATGTTTTACATGTAACCAAAATAAAATACCATATCTTTGTGTAGGATGTTCGAGAAAATTTTGTATATTGGACTTAGCAAAGCATCGTCTAATATTAAATGAAGAACTGAATCACATCGCCAAAGATTATAATGAATTTAAACAAAAATTTAATGAAGAAAAATTGAATTCAAATGATCTTGCTTTAATAGATCAAATTAATCAATGGGAAGTAGATTCATATGAAAAAGTTAAACAAAAGGCAAAAAATTGTAGAGAAATTGTGAGTGAATCTTCCAGACTTAAGCATGATATTGAAAAGAAATTGAATGATTCAAGTGAACACATAGAACAAATTCAAAAAGAAAATGAATTTAATGAAACTAATTTGAATTACTTAACAAATGAATTAATAAAAATGAAAGAAGAAGTAAATTATCTACCAAAGGTTTCTATTGAACAAGATTATCACCCATTTATTAATGAAATTTCAGTTCTTTCATTACAAAGTAAGTTTTTTAGAAATAATCTCTAAACGAAAAATCCAGATTTTCTATGAATTTATGTTAAAAAACTGTAATACAAAGAAAAGTAATGACAAAGAAGATAGAAAAATCGAGAATATTATTGATGTATTCCTATGTAAAAGAAAATAGTGATAGTATATGAAATAATACTAAATTAAAGAAATTGATTTTTTTTCAAAGTTTCAAAAAATGTTTGATTAATAAGGGACAAAGTAATTAATAAAAACACATCGTTAAAATTTCATCACTTTATATATTTTATATTAAAGTTCTTGAAAAATTAGAAAAATGAAATAAAATTTGTCTCTTTATTAAATATATTTATTAACATTTCATTCAAACATAATCTTTTCTTCTTCTTCTTCTTTTCATCAAAACCGTTTGTTTTCATCATTTTCTAGTATCAAAATTAAAAAAATGGAAACAAAATGCCATCACTGTGGCTGGTGGAAATAGAAAAGGGCAGGAATCAAATCAATTCAATCGTCCTACAGGAATTTGTATTGATGAAAATAAAAACATTTTTATTGTTGATTCTGGAAATCATCGTGTTGTAGAATGGAAATGTAATGAAAATGAAGGACAAAGCATTGCGGGTGGAAATGGGGAAGGAAATCGAATGGATCAGTTAAGGTATCCAATAGATGTAATTGTTGACCAAAAAAATAACTCGATCATCATTGCTGATTTTCATAACAGACGAGTGATTCAATGGGTGAATCAAAATCAACAAATTCTCATTGACAATATTAACTGTCGTGGCTTGGGAATGGATAAACATGGATTTCTTTATGTTTCTGATTATAAGAAGAATGAGGTACGGCGATGGAAAACTGGAGAATACAACAATGAAGGGATTATAGTGGTAGGTGGAAATGGGCGAGGAAATCAGCTCAACCAACTTAATAATCCTAGTTTTATCTTTGTTGATGAAGATCAATCTGTTTATGTATCAGATTGCAACAATCATCGTGTGGTGAAATGGAGACAAGGTGCAAAAGAAGGTAAAATTGTAGCTGGAGGAAGTGTGAATCAATTGTCTTTACCTGAAGGAATAGTTGTTGATGATTTGGGTCAAATCTATGTGGTAGATGGTTTGAATCATCGAATAATGCGTTGGTGTGAAGGAAAAGAAGAAGGCGAAATTGTTGTTGGTGGAAATGAAAAAGGAAGTCGATCAAATCAACTGCATGGTCCCAGTAATTTATCTTTTGATGTTGAAGGAAATCTTTATGTTGCTGATACTTTTAATCATCGAATTCAAAAGTTTGAAATAGTTTTGTGAATGAAATTGTGAGATAATGAAATTATCCATATTTTCTAACAGTGTGTCATGGTGTTTTCTCTTTTCTGTTATGGTTTTATCGAACACATACGCATATATATAGTTGTCGTTATATGTATGTGTTATTTATATATCTTCATATATCTTTTCATCTTTCGTTCTCTCTACCTGTTGTTTCCCTGTTTCTTTTCTTCAATAAAGATACCTTTTCTGAAGATTGTATTTTATTGAATATCAAGGTGTGACAGGAATTTTGATTTTGAAAAAAAAGAAAAAAACATTTATTGAATAAAACATCTGAAATAAAAACGAAAGAAAAAGTGAAGTTTTATTGTTGAAAATCAGTGAAAGACCTCGATTAAAATTTGAAGAAAACAACAACTTAAATTTTTTTCTGGTAATTTTCATCAAAATTAAATTAAATTTGATAGTTTTGATAAAATTCTATTTTAGTATTTTTATTTGATGAAAATAATCAAAAGTTTTCTTGCTTTTCCGATTTGATAAAATCTTAAAGTTATTCAAAACTTGAAAAAAAAGAAATACTTTATGAACAACTTAATAATAAAACTCGAGTCGAAATGAATTTTGTTGAGTAAAACAAATATCGAAAAGATTTTTGTTTAATAAACTAACAAATTTTTATCATTTTCCAATTTCATGTGTTTTTGTTGATTTGAAATTTGAAGAGAAGAAATTGATTTTGAAATAATTTGTAATAAAAACTGGATTGAACAATGATTTGTTAAAATGAGGGTGTGGGTGTGGATGTGGACTGGGTATTGTTGCCTTCTTTATCCACATTCACACCCACATCCTCAAGATGGTTTGTAACTTTAATATCTGTAAATAACATTTAAGGTATTATAAATTATATTGTTCGATTTAGAAACAGAAATGATTAATAGCAAAGTTTATCTACAACAGTATTACTTTTTAAATTCAGATGAAAGAACAAATAATAAAAGTTATCTGATATGCTCTTTTAATAAATGATTATTAAGGTTAGTCTATTTTATTCAAAATTAAGTTTAGATTTTTTTTATAGTAGTAAAGAATTATGAGATGATTCTACTATGGAAAGAAATAAAGGTTGAACAAGAAAAAAAAACAAGGATATAATAAGTTTCAAACATCTAAAGATGAATAAATGACAGGAAGTACAGAAAATCGAAAGAAATGAAGTTTAAAAACCCAAGAAGTAATATAATCGATATTTTCTATTTCCATGTTTCAGAAAAAGAAATATCTAAATCAACTACTCGTAAAGAATCAGATGCTTCATTGATATTATCTTCAGTTTGCGTTTCCTTGTCGTTCTCATTAACAGAATCCTTTTCACTGCAAACTGCTGTTGTTACATCATCTGTAGTAATATCAGCTTCAAGTCCTACATCGACAGATGTTGATGTAGCTACAATAATATTATTTTCAATATCTTTTTCATTATCATCTCCAGTTTGGGTGTTCTTGTCACTCTTATTATTGGAATCATGTTTTCTACAAACGGCTGCAGTTATACCACCTGCAGTAGCACCAGCTGTAAGTCCTACACCAACGGATGTTGATGCAGCTACAGCACCAACTGCTCCAGCAGATTGACATAAAGCAAAAATACTTCCAGATGCTGTTGTTGCTGTTTGGATAGATGCTGCTAAACTACCGGCTGCTACACCAGCTGATGTAAATCCAGCCGCACCTAAAACAGGTATTATAGCCAATGGCGCTATCATAGCAATTGGTACGCCAAAAATGCATGCTTTTGTAATTGTAGAGCTTTCATTCCATTTATTTTCGGCATAATCTGCACCAAGTTTTATTGTTTTTTTAACTTTTCCTGTGAATGTTGAAAAAGATGCCATTAAAGTAAGTAGAATAATACAGAAAAAAATCGATCAAATAGAAAATAAATATTAAACTTGTGATTTGGAATCTATCTTCAAAAATTTGATTGACAGGATGATCTAAAATGAAAAAATTTATTTTATCATATCGTGTCATTATTTCAAAAAAGAAAAATTTCTTCATTACATTACTCGGAGATTTTTTCCAATGTCTGATAAATGTGAAATAATTTATATTATCGCTTATTATTTTTATTGTTCAAATGAATAATTGGAAATACTTAAAATAAAAACAAGTTTATAAGTCAGAATAACTGTTTCATACAATGGAAATAACTCAAAACAAAGTCGAACTAAATTCAACTGTATTAATGCGTTAGAATAATACGATATGTATGAATATTCGATGATAAAAACAACTTTTTACTCGCATTTACCTGAGCAAGTATAAACAGACGACTGACGAAAGCATATTACTGAATATACGAGTAATAGAGAACGAAAAAGAAAAAAATACTCTCGTCTACACTTCTCTTTTTTTGTCAATAATTATTCTTGTTTTTCTGACTCATACAGTTTGCTGTCTGTCCAATTGAGAAGATACAGAATGAGAAAAACATCATCCTCTCCTATAATTCTCTTTTATGTTCTATCCTTTGCTTTTATGAAAAAACTATGGAAAGTAACAGTTGAATTCATTTATTTATTTGCCTAAAGATGATAAAAAACAGAATATTATAGAGCTTCCAATAGAATACAAATGTATCAATGTGAAATAAAAAGAAACAGAGAGCGCTAACAATGAATACAATACAACTAATAAAAGTGAGATAAATTTCCCTTTAACACAGACATATGCTCGACGATAATTATTATTGATTTATTTATCATAATAAATGACAAAGCAGTACAACATGAGTCAATAACTGTATGTGTTTTTTTTATTGAATAAAAAAGATATTTGTAGAAAAAAAAGAGATGTTTTTTATAAACAAATATGAGAAGAATAATTCGATGGTTTTATTTAACAATCATTACAATATTCAAAACAAGTAATTTCTTCTAAAGCATAACAAAAACATAAACACGCCAGACTAAAAAAAAAAAGAAAGAATTTTAATAGATAAAATGAAAAATTCTTTTATTCAACAATCAAAACAAGCATTACTACCTCGTAAAATTATTTCGTGATGAAATTGATTTTTCAACTATTAAATTGTCAGTTTTTATTATTTCTCTTTCCATATATTAAAATTAAAAGGAAAAAAAATTAATTTAACTTACTTAATTGATCATCTTGTTCAATAGAAAATAAATTTTTATAAAAAGATTTCACAAATTTTATTTGAAATTCTTTAATTTACGAAGAAGATGATAGTTTATATATATATAATTGTATTCATAATTGAATAAATCGATGTGATTTCGTTTCGTTATATGCAGTTGAAATCTTTCTTGACAATATATATGTCATTTTATTTAAAAAAAGGGGGAGAAAACATTATATTGCTTATTTTCCGTCTTTTTTATTCTTTCTCTTGACTTCGTTCGTTCTTTTATAGTTATTCATTTATTCCAAGGACAAGCAAAAAGAACATAAAAAAAATCAGGGTATAGGTGTGAGTATCTATCTTTTTTAATCCACATCAACACCCACTCTACAGCCACATCAACCCTCAAGTTTATCTTGCATGCGTACAATTAACAAGTTAACAGGTAAAAATCCATTAAAATCGATTTTTTACATATTTTCTAATACGGGTATCGCTGGAAAAGTTCTCGCGTAAATCAATCGAGTATTTTAAAAATATTAGAAAAATTTGATGTAAAAAGAAAAAAATGTAAATGACTCAAAAGTTAGCATGAGTAAAATACCTCCTACATAAGAAATAAATTGATATGAAGTAAAACACGAAGTAGGGTAGAAAGAATTGATGTAAAAGAGATAAGCAAAAAACAGAAAAAAAACAGAGAATATTAAGAGTTGATGTAAAAGAGAAACAAAAACAACGACAAAGATATACTCAGGTATGAATAAAAGTTTTCTTACCATTAAACAATACAAAGTGCTTATCTATACACAGGTAAGTATAACCATTCTATTAGTAAATATAAAGTTATATTATTACTTTATTGATATAAAATAAATGTTTTATTTTTTTGAATAATTTTATTTAACTCCGTATTGTGTTATATTTTTAAATAAAATTTGTAATGTTATTGAGACGATTCTTGATTTGGTTTTTGATCCATCTTTTATATCTCGTCTAACAGAATCACTATGATGGCATATATATATTACATTTTGATATCGAAAACGATCAAAGAATTCTTTCATTTTTTTTCATTGTATTTCGTTGCGATATGTTTAACACTCACTGGTTGATGATACCCAGAGAACAGAAAAATGAAAAATATCAAAAATATCGTAATTTTATCATCAGAACTGTAATTTTATTCGTGTTCTTCACACAAAAGCCATCATTTTTTTTCATTTTTTCTATTCTCTCAGTAGTGAAAGCAGCAGTTTTAAAATTCATCCTTGATTTGTTACTAATTATCAAATTTCTTCACAAAGAAAAAATGTTTATCTTGACCCATTTTCCTGGATGAGTAATTAAAACGAACACCAATAAATCCTTAGATTTAAGTGTACTAGTAAAATGAACCTTGTTTTGTAGTAGATGGTGAGAATGAATATGATAAACTTTTTAATGGTATAATAGTATTCATTTAATATTATAAATGAGATTATATTAAAACACTCCATTTGATTTAAATAGAAATTATCAATTCATTTTATTTCATTTGTAAAAGTATATTTAGAAGCTCAATAAAGAAAAAATTATAGTGAATGTTAATTATTCACCTTAACGAAGGTTATTTTTTCAGATTGTAAGCTGTCAGACTTTTCATATTTTGAAATGTCTCGGTTTTTGAGCAAACTATACAAGAGGAAAAAACATTTTTTCGTTTCACAACTATTAAACAGAATAAATGATATAACTGAAAGAAGAAGAAGTACTGATACTGCATGGTTTTCATTTATTCCATTGAAAGTAATGAAGCCCAACTATTTCTTTCGAGGTCCGAAAAAGAAAGTACTAGAAATACTTTTAAATTAATAAATCTTTATTTAAATTAATATTTCTCAATAACTGTGTGACTGTACTACTTAATTTATACTAGATTTGTATGTGATAAAGAATTAATAAAATAAAATAAAATAATAATTATCTATATATCTATGTTTTTATTTAATGGTGACAGAACTTTTCATTAGACGTAAGTGTTATAGCATGATGTGTCTCCTGCTATAAAGAATGCTGATTCTCTTTCATTTCCTCACGTACTACTGATATCGTTGAGTATTTAACGAGTGAATATTGTGAAGAGAAGAATGATTCTTATTTTATGAAAGAAAAGGAATAAAGAACAAAGATGAGCGATAACAGAAAGTAAAAGAAAAATAGAAAAAGTAAGTAGAAAAATTGGTAAGAAACAAAAGAAAAAAAAATCTACGCATTAAAAGTGCCACGTTGTAAGGTGCAAACATGCAAAATTAAAGCAAGTTTTTTTTGTTATTTTTATACATGATTAGATGGCGCTTGTCGAGCTAAGTAAGAATGTATGTGTTTTAATTATTTTTCGAATGCTTTTATTAAAAAATTTCGATTATTTTCGATAGTATTGAATGGTTCAGTTTTCCTAAAAAAAGTCAACGTTTTTAATGTTTTTTCAAATTTTAAAAACTGTTTAGCTTTGTTAGATTTATAAAAAGTAGTATACTTGGATTCCCCGTGAAAATCTACGTCGGTTAGACTTATTTTTAGTATTCTTTCGCAAAAATATGCTTATAGAATGTATAATAGTACCGAAAATATTCACATTTTCTTAACAAAACATTGAAAAAAAAATTAAAACACATACATTCTTACTCACCTCGACGAGTTCTACCTAATCATGTGTAAAAATAACAAAAAAAAAACTTGCTTTAATTTTGCATTGTTTGCACGTTATTTATAAGCTACTAATTCTTTTTTAGATATTAACAGTTTATATTTGACACACAACGTAATATTCTTCTGCATATTCATTATTGTTTTTCAATACAAGAAGGTGCTAACAGATCAATCAACCAATAAATTATCAGTGTTACGACATCTCATTCAATCAGTAAGTTAAAAACTTCCTGAATTCTATATATTTTTGTACAACCTGGAGAGCGATAACAATATGTAGCATAAAATAAGATATTTATTTCTGTTTTCTGACTATCTATTTAAAGAAAAGATCCAACAAATTAGATTAAAATCGAATAAAAACGATGCCCTTGTAATTAACTTCTAAGTTGAAAAAAATCGGTTTATGACGCATGTTGAGGATGTGGGTAAATGAGTATTTATTCCATGATTACTTACACATACACCCACACTACATCTAGCTCATTGCTAATTTGATGAATAATACAGACGAGGACAATGACGTCATCGGAAAACTATAGCTCATCTTGTCTTTAGTTAGTCTGCTCATTATAGGAAATCAGTATTCAACCAGTATAACAAATGGCATTCGCAAGAGGCGGACGCTTTGTGGATGATTATACCTCAAAAAGGCTACAAGATAATTGGAATCCAATATCCGGTTATACAGATCGGGATGTTAAGTCGTTAGAAGAAGCTGTAAAAAGTATTATTCCATTCGTCGACAAAGTCATGCAGTATGTAGAGGAAGCTAAACAAAAATGCAAAAAAAA